AGAGATGCTAGTCTTCAAAGGGACATTCTGGGCTTTTTTTCACCCACAACTTCTGTTGCAGTGATTATGGAAATATGTAGAATGGCAAATGAAGCAGCACAAACCTACTCAAATAACTTAAATTTAACAAATTCAGTCTAAAACACTTAAAAGTTAACAAAGAAAGTATTCCCTTAGAGATGCTTATAGCAACTTTTGTCTCCCTTGTGCTGTTGCAGCTGAGGAAAACTACAGTGTGTATATTGTAAAGTTTTAAAAACTCACAGACACCGACCAGCTTTTCACATTTACTACTGCTTCAACATTTAAGCCAATGCGAGGGGAAAAAAACATGCAAAGAAAAGTTAAACAGAAAGTTGCTACAACAGCTAATGATTCCTGTTGAATACTGCCTGTGTGCTCTGTTTTTAGATTGGATACAAACTGTTTTAAGATCATTCTTTTAAAAAATAAAGTTTCCTTAAAAAAAAATCAGCACATCGCCACTTAGAATGTTGTTCTTGCATTCCTAAGTCGCTCTGTTTAGTACGACTAAAATGTTACCAAGGGTTGTGGACAGAAATAGTAAAAACAGTCTGACAAATTCCAGTAGGCAGCTTTCCTCTACAAGAACTAGAGGCAGGTGCAAGGTAAGGTGGTGTTTAGAGGAACCGCCTCATCCGTCGTTTCAGACTTTCTGTTTCCATTGCAGTGAATGGTCAAACAGCTGTGACTGCAACGTCAACTCAGGGTGCATCAAATAATTCTGTTTCTGTGTATATGTAGGAAATGGAGCAATGGAAGGTTTGTCATTTGTCTGTATGATGAATTTTAAATTGTTGAAGCTGATATTAGAGAGAAGACTCAACAAGGATATTGAGAGGACAGAAAAAATGGCACATTCTGTCTTCTCTGAGTTTAATCCAATCAGCATCGAGACCCGCACATCAGTTTCTCAGGGATGCTCAGAGGTATCCACCCGACAGTCAATACTTTTTCCCCCCCTAAAAATGGCCCTGACAGAGGTCCTACAGGGACAGTTCTTACAGATGGGACACACACAAACGTAGATTCGCCCAGGAACAAGTTCCTGCAGAGGAAAGTGTTCTCTTTTTCCCTTTCAGTGAAGGAGTGGTTGTTCGGTGTAATCATTCCTCCTCTGCATGCTGTTCATGAAGTGATCCATTCCAGTGCAATGCCAGAGATGGATGTCTTTTTATTTTCATTTCAGCAGAAACTATAAAAGGGCGTTAGCAGGTGGTTTTAGTCAAATCCGGTGGGAATTTCTAAAATGGCCATGTTTTTAGTACAAAATACCATTTTTGTGTGACTATACTTCCACTCAAAAATTATTTTAAAAATCTGTACACTGGCCTTTTTTACAAGAAAGATGAGATTTGGAAGATACACACTTGATCAAGGAGGAGATATAAACATGAAGAAATGCCAACCTACCATTTAAAGGCATTTTTGTGGGATGGGTAAAGTCTCAGAACCACAAGGTTTAATCCTAAACTCAATAAGCATCTACAGTATGATTTTAAGCTGTTATGCAAGATGTTGAACTCCAACCTGCATGCTTACTGTAAGTACCTCTGGATGTCAGCATCTGCTGTAAAACTAAATCACATTTTGAGACTCCAACAGTTACACTCACACTATTTAGGGCACCAACCCAGCAGTGATAAAAATGTGAAGGAGAACTCCTATCTGAGCTTCTATCAAACCGATGAATACCCCTGTGGTGAATTAAAAGTTTTGCAGAGTTTGTCAGTAAATAGTAACTCTTTCTCACACTTTTTATATCCACTGCAGAAGTGTAAAATACAGCTTTTTTTGTACAACTTTCTATTAAGCATCTTACCCGTCAGGCTTGCTGTTTGTACTCGGGTCAGTGGAAATGTGAGTCTCTGAAAGGATGCTTTGATAGGCTGCCTGTATGTTGTCATTCTTCATTGGTATTCTGCACACAGGAAGTATTGGGTGCAGAGGTTCTTCCAACCTCCCACTTGCTTTTCTCCTCCAGGTCTCCTCCTTGCCGTTTCGGGCAGTGGTTTGCAATACCACTCAATCCTCAATTAACATTTCTCTACTTTATGAATAAAAATATGTATTTTTACAGACTGTACTTTTCCCTCTTTTAGTGTAATTTCTTTTAATCGGTTCAAACCCTCGCTTTCTTCTGTCGTATTCAAGATAAGCTTTTCAAACCACAGGAGTAGCAGAGCACCACCTTTTGGTTTACATCATGTATTGCAGCTGGTCTGAAATGGAAGAATGCGGCAGGAAAGGTTTGATGGGCAGATTTCCTGCAGCACCACTTCAGTGTGTGGGTGTACTGATGCTGTATCCTGATAGAACACATTGTAAAGTATTTAAATTTAGAGTTTGTAGGTTGTCACAAAGGGAATAAGCACTCTATGGGGATTTCATCCTCAACCAGAAACATCAAAAACCACAATATTCACACACACACACACACACAAACACACACACACGCACATATATAAGGGATGAGCTGTGGAGCATGTGTCACACTACTGGGCTTCAGTCCAGCAGCAGTGAGAAATCAGCTGAGGGAGAAGGCCATGACCTTTTCCTCTCATTGGTTTTGACAAAATGGGCACATTTTGATATAATAAGTGGTGATTCATTTCCCATAATTAATGCTGTACCTACAAAAATAGCCAAGAATTTCTATTGTGCATCTTGCTCTTTTTGCATCTGGGTTACTCATTTTACAGTAAGTGCAAAAAGCTCTACAATGCAGTAGAATAAATCCTTTTGTGAACCTGTGGATGAGTTGTATTTTTTCTGGCTTGACTTGCACAATGGAATCCCAGTCCTCTAATTAGGTGTGAAACTTGACCTTAGCTATCCCGAGCCCATCTTCTTGAGCCAAACCCGGCCGGAGTTGATCATTATTATCAAAGTCTCTCCTACACTATGTGCTGGACATCCTGCTTTGCTGACGTTAACATGTTTCAGCTCATAAACTTGCTTTATACTTGAGATCTGACTCAGGGTTTTCACCTCAAGTCTGTGGGACCAGGCTGAGCCTCGAGACATGACTTTGGACTTCATTAAACTACAGTCCTTCAGCCATAGAGCTGGGGTGGATGGAACTATAGTGTAAAAAGATTTTGTATTGATCAGGCAGAAAACACCTGTTCCCAGCCTACATTAAAGGATCCCCTCTCTCCTCCAATTTATATGCATCTCAGTTATGACCATAGTCTGTGAATGTGGGATGTAGCCACTGTGATGTCAGTGTGGACTACTGCTTTGAAAGGCATTTGGCCATCGAGTGAGGGATGGATCTGACTAAGAATGCAAGAACACCACCATGTTGTAGCACAGAGTTATCATCACAAAGTGGCTTTGCCCATACACATTACTTTAGTGTATATTTCCCTCTAATATTTTCTAACAGTATTTTCGATTCAGTTTCATTTATACAGAAACAAGGTCACATACTGTCACATACCGAAAGAAAGAAAGAAAGAAACGCCAGTAGATTTAACTTGTTATATGGGTACACCATTGATGCACTGTGTTGTAGCAATGCACACACGATACTGATTACTTGGCATAAATTTTCCACAGCCACTAAAGACAATAAGCAACTGTCTTCTTGGGCTGAGTAAGACCTGTGTTATACTCTCTGCATGCACAGTGTGCAAGGGTCCACAAGTGTCCACACGTTGTAAATTTCATCTCTTCAAGTCCGTGAGAGTCCTGGTAGACAGTCTGCAAAGCAACTAAGCTGCATCCATGCTGTCGCAACTATCCATGTGCTTGTCCACAAGGCTTAATACCCTGTATGATTAAACAGATGTTTATATGTAAAACTGGACAAAACTTGCTATCAAAAGTAAATACTAGGTGTTCATCCATGACTACACCACTTTCTAAGCATTTGTCAGTCATGAGTGGCGTCTTGTTTTTAGCTTTTCTGAAGCCACCACAAATATACACGAGTAGCAGCAGAGTGCCAAGACGCTAGTTTGAAAGCCATTATCTGCCCCACACAAGTTGGGTGCAGGGGTTTGCAGTGCTCTTATCCATGGTGCCAGCATGATGGGGTCAAACTTAGAGAGAGCAGGTCAAGGACTATCAGAGGAGGCAGGGAAAGCCTGATTCTGGCTCTAGTTTTGTAGGAAGGATAGCTTTTAAGGGCTATCCCCAGTTAGGGACAGCTGCAGGGGGTGACAGGTAGATCACCCTGCTGTGCCACCGCCCAAGTAAGATGTGCTACTAAAGGGGCCGAAACATCATTGAACAGAAGCTTCCAGCTGATGACCCTGCAGGTGACCTGAGGGAACTGGAACAAGCTGAAATGTCTAAGCAACAGTGATACCTTACCTTCCACCTACCTTACAACTAACAACAAGAAACTTGGCAGGCTTAGCAGCATGGCTAAACAAAGTGTCAGTAACCACCAGCAGTTTTTTTTAAGATGGATATTTTTACCCACTGCACACTGGCTAGGTGGCTATTTATTCACCATGTTTATTCATTATAATGAGGACTTAGCTCTGTCTTAGTGTCTTCTATGGGCCTCTGCATCTCACTACAACTATGTTATCGACTGTGGTGCCCATGGGTGTGCTTGGGTCCACTAAGCACAGCTCTGATGGCTGCTCAGGGACTTTTCATTATCGCCACGTCTCATAACTTTAGACAGAGCTAATATCAGTAGGTGGTTCTACCATATGGAGGTAATTTCAGCTTATGAATTGCCACAACAAAAAATGTCTCAGTGGGACAGACAGATATTGGACTCACGCTTTCGTTACCATGTGGAATGGAACCGTGCCGCATGACATTTCAAATCAAATATGATGTTTTTAATCTCAAAGCAGTGCCGCTGGATCGCAGGGACTTGTTCAGATAAAGATATGGGTTGTAGTTGTCTCTGAAATCAGAACAGTTAGCAGGAAGATGACATGAATGTTGTGTTTACTGATAAGGTATTTGTTTGTGTCTGTATGTGAATATGTGTGCATTTCTTTCTGCAGGCATATCGTTTCCTTGCCATCAATAAAAAGCTGGGGTTGAGTGGGCGTCCAGATAGGCCAGTGGGTTGCATTGGGACCTGCAAGGTATTTTAATCTGTGCATACACACCCACACACATGTACCTACATACCAGTATGTGCACATACATATGTGCTCCATGTAGCTCCGCTGCACAGGTCATGGAACATCGTGACGCTAACACAACTCCCACATATTGATCTGCATAAATTTCTCAGAGCTCCAAGGATTTGACAACATCTCAGAAACTCAACATAGACAGAAAATATTTTCCAAGAGTTTCCTTCTTCTTCAGACACACAGTATGCATCAGTGAGCGCTGAATAGATTTTGCTTAGTCTCAGGACTCATTACATTCTAATATGCTAAGCTGCTGTCAGGCAGTCTGTGTGTTTGTGTCCGTGTATGTGCACATTATGTGGCTATGAAAAGGAGTGTGTTTGTACAGTGTGTGTGTGCGTGCAAATGTTTCTTACTGATGTTGTTTGCAATTTCTCCCAAATGAAGGTCATAGTACGACCAAATAAGTTGAGCTATAGCAGCTTTCTCAAACAAAGGCATTGCCGAACAAATGAATCATGGCTCCCAACGCATTGCTAAGACAATATTATAATGGAACATTTATGGGAAAGATGGCAGACTGCCAGAGGACATTATCATCATCAGTGTGTCTGTACGGGTGTGTGTGCCCCTGTGACAATCTGAATGTGTGAAAGAGAGGTTTCCACCAGTTGTGTGTATATACTGTATATGTGTGCGATATCTGAAGTGGTTGTGTAACTTCTGTGTGCCTCCTCTATCCCAGGATTGATGGCTTGTTTTATACGCTGCCCAGAATAATGTATACGTGGCTACTTGTGAGCCATCCGTCTTCTAATGCAGTAGTGTGTGTGTGTGTGTGTGTGTGTGTGTGTGTGTGTGTGTATGTCTGTTCCTCTAGATTTATCGCATTCTGGGCAAGACGGTGGTGTGCTACCCAATAGTGTTTGATCTAAGTGACTTTTACTTGTCCCAAGATGTTATGCTGCTGATTGATGACATTAAGGTAAGTCCGGGTCACACTTTATATGTGCTCGTAGAACTTAAATAGCTGAGTTATTTTCAGGTTTTCTTGTGTGAAGAAGCTGACATTTGTGAAAAAGGCAGGAAATCAACTGATTGGGTTTGAGTATATGATCATTTTACCTGGCCCCACAGAAAGGGCAAACACCAGAGTCAGAGCTTATTTGATACCTAGACAGATACTGACTTGTTCTTATAGACTTAAAATTCAGCTTTTAAAAGATATCAGTAATCCAAACCAGTAGCCTGCATTGCATACACTTGCAGCATTCAGGGCAATATGCGAATATAATTAATATAGGGGTAAAATTTCCTAGATACAAATACAAAACAATAATAGTACTGAATGTGCAGGATTTATTCACATCTTTGCCTCTGATGCCTGCCTAGGCCCTGTACAGACAAACATAAAGTGCTTTAGGAGGCCATTTACTTCCTCTTTAGAAACCTTTACACTAGAAAGCACCTGTTTGTTTAGAAGAACTTCCAAAATGTTCCCTTTTTTCCAATGCTTGTTTTCCAAATGTTGCTAAGTTTCCAACATTCTTCTGGACACTTGAGGCACAGCTTTAGTTACAACAGGTGAACAGATTCATTTTGATAAACAAGCTCAGGGCAGGAACAAATTAGCACGATTGTTTAAAGAAACAGCGCTGCAATTTCCCCTGTCAGCCTTTCTGTTTCCATCACAGTGTAGGATCTGACAGCTCTGACTGTGATTTCAACCCAAAGTCACCAACAACAATGACAAATAGTAGTCACTGGATGTAACAGAACAATGGACATTTTAGTGTGTTTGCATATATGGCAGATTTTACGTTGTTGATGGTGAGAAAAAAGAGAAGACTGCTACTCGCAAAGGACATCGAGAGGGCAGAAAAGATGGCACTCGTTGTCCTATCCGAGTCCTACCTATCAGCGTTTTCTTCTCCGACTTCAACTTACTACACTTTTTCAGGGACACTCAGATGCACCTAGCCTTGAGTATGTACTTTTTTCTCTGTCAAAAAAAAGGCAAAATGCTGACTCAAAGATCTGCTCAGGTAGCAATTTTTTTTTTAAGATACAGCAATTGAGCTAGAAAAAGAAAAGCATATTTTACACCAGCTGACTTAATTATTTAAGCTATATAATATACACAATACAATAAATATGCCAGCACCTTGTATTAGCAATTTGCACTGTGCTTGTCAGAGCTCTACTGAGTAGTGAGAGTGCCAAATTACAAAAATAAACCAATAAAAGAATAATAAAATAAAAGTGGAAATAAAAAGAATAATAAATAAAATTTAAAAAACAAATAATGTGGCAGTATAAAGCAATATTAATCAAAAATGAATCCATAAAAAAAGGCCAGTAAAAGTAGAAATATAAAGACAAATAAATATGATAATAAAAATATTTTTTGTTAGTTTTTTATGCTTTTATTTTATCCATTTATTTTATTTATTTATTTTAATGTAGTTATTATTTAATTATGTTTTTTATTGTTTTTTTAATTATGTTTTTCATTTTTATTTTCATTTATTTATTTTATTTTTATTTTTTTATAATGTCGCTTTAAAAGCAAAGGCACAACAACATACCGACTGCGCACATTTTTCTGCCCATATTTCCTTTGCTTTCAAAACGCTTTTTATAAATGTCGCTTTAAAAGCAAAGGAAATATGCGCAGAAAAATGTGCGCAGTGGGAATGTCGTTGTGTGCAGGCGCTGAAGGAATAGTGCTCAAGTACGGACATGCATCCTTGGACTTGTGTAGGCTTGGGACAGCCAAGTATCCCAGAATGCATTTCGCGCCACCAACGATAAAAGCCGAGGACAAAACTTTCAAAGGTAATACAAGTTTTTTTGTAACTTCTGCTGTTATTGTGACACATAATGTACTTAAGATAATTTTAAGCGAGAAAGTAGTGGTATAAACATCAAATCTGTGGTCAGTTGATCAAGATCAAGCCTGCTTTCAGAGACATGACTGTCCCAATTTGACAGCTGTGACAGTGGTCAGTGCTCACAGTAGCCACCGAGACCAGCCTTATGTCGGCAAGACTTTCTGAAGTCTGCAGCTGGCTCTGACGGTTCCGTAGCGGTGGTACCTTGGTACGTCTGAATTATTTTCTTGTCTTCATCACCTGTTGTACCATTTTGCTCAAATCTTATGACTGTAACTGTGCACTGAAAATAAAATCTAAGTGGTATTTTATTGGAGGGACAGCTGGATAAACCAGGTCCTCCCTGACTGCTGGGAGACTCCACAGAACATCAGCAGCTCCATTCTGGACCTTCTGACGGAGCATCTTCAGCAGCATGACGCTGTTAATGGAAACTGATCAGCTCCGCTAAAAAACAACCGCCAGAGCCAGCAGCAGATTTCAGAAAGTCTTGCCGACATAAGGCTGCTCGCGGCAGCTACTGTGAGTGCTGACTGCCGTCACAGCTGTGAAACCAGCAACGATTTTGGAGATGTGAGTGTCCCGGTTTGACTGTCACCGTCAGATAAACGCAAATCTATGTATATCCCTGTTTAACTGCTACGGAACCGTCAGAGCCAGCAGCAGATTTCAGAAAGTCTTGGCGACATGAGGCTGCTCTAGGCGGCTACTGTGAACGCTGATCGCCGTCACAGCTGAAACAAACAAATGCACTTCTGGAGCGGTTGTTTTGTCTCCCTGATGTACAGGTCATGGCATTCCCTGGCGAGGAATCAAGGAGAAAAAACAACCGCTCCACAAGCGCATGGCTCAGCACAGAAGAGCCACCTTCTCAGGACAGGACTCAGCAGTCCACCTGCATCTTAAGGGCAAAGGACACTCATTCGAAGACAACAACGTACAGATTTTGGCCTGCAGGGAGGACAGATGGTTTGAGAGAGGGGTGGAAGAAGCCATCTATGTCAAACTGGAAGGACCATCCCTCCAAGAGGTGGAGGTCTGAGACATCACCTCTTACCTGTTTACAATTCGGTCTTAATAACTCTTCCCAGGAAGATGAAACCACATTCACACCTAGCCACAAAACACCCTAACAAACCCCATTGTGGCAGGGGGAGCACTAACGATTCACATAATGAGGGGAAGGAGCAACAAACCCCCAGTTGAAACCGACACTCAAGAGTTAATTGCTCCTTAAGGATATCAGTATCTGGAACTCCCAACTAGTCAGTCAGAACTGATGAAGCCTCTTGGATGACAGGTGGAACATCTTCAAGGAATACATGCAAGTCCAGTTGCTACGATTACTCTACGAGAAAAAGTCTGTACTTGCGTACTATTCCTTCTGCGCCTGCACACGACATTCCTACTGCACACATTTTTCTGCACACATTTTCTTGGCTTTTAACGTGACATTCGAAACATGAAATAACTGATTTTTGTTGGAGTGTCACTGACTGTGATGATTGTGTATTTAATGCTTTTATGAACCATGTAACTCTTCATCAAGGAACTTTACAACTTCAACTTTGATCAGTTTGGCAGTTAAGGATGCTGAACTTTATAACTGTCCACTGATTCAGTTGTTGCACATGAAACAGTAGAAGCTGAAATCTTTGAACCAGCAGCATGCCTGTGCCGATCTGAACTGCTGTCTGTGTGTGCAGAATGCCCTGCAGTTCATCAAACAGTGCTGGAAGATGCAGGGGCGCCCTCTGTTCCTGGTTCTCATCCGTGAGGATAACATCAAGTAATATACACACACTATAATAGCTCTTTTATCTTTTTTTTTATGTCTTCCTCTCATCTGATAGCTTTCTCAAAGCATTCTCCTATCCCATATCTGTTCATACATCACTCACTATCTCTCTTTTTCTGTCTGATACTGGCTCAGTCTTGCAACAAAATGTCTTGACAGTCAATTTATTTCATTTTTTTTTCATTTGCCATTTCTGTCTTTCTCCACCCCCCCTCTTCCCTCTTATGTACACTGTTTATCTTTATAGCAGGAAGGTGCTATTGTGTTTGCTTGCCAATTGGTGATAATGTTTCTCATTTGTATCACTACAGCCTGGCTGGTGGGCTGATTACAGCAGTATTGACCATTATCCAGGGAGCCATATGTTAAATGTGCTACAAACACTTAAACAGCCACGCTGCAGCATCTGGAATGAGCCAATGGGCTCCCATAGAAACAACTCAATAGTCATTAGTTTGCTATTGATCAGAATGATGACCTGTACAGAGGCTGACAGTAGACCGAATAAAGCAACGCTATACCGATTTACTCAGAAGTTTTAGCTGTGCTTATTTAATTGGAATACTGTTCAAAATACCAGTATTGTGTTTAGAATGTAATCAGTTGCACCAATGATGAAAGGAAAAGGATAGAAAGCACTAAATCAAACATTTTAACTCCTGTTTCACCAGAGGGAGCCGCTTCAACCCAGTTCTGGACATGCTGGCCTCGTTCAAGAAAGGCAACATCGGCGGAGTCAAAGTTCACGTCGACAGACTTCAGGTTTGTGGATCCCAAGAATTATATCAGTTACTCATTTATTTTGAACAATCAATAATTGTTTAAAAAGACACAAAATATCGGAGAAAGAAAAGGGTACAATTCAGATTATAAGAACAAAATAAGTGGGTGACAGTGTACAGTGGGTCTCTCACTCACTGTAGAGTTGGTGGTCTCATCCCCAGCTTCTCCTGTCCATATGACTCCCTCAAGTCACTTTAAATTTTATTGTTATATTAATGCAGCCATTTGCAGTTTAACTGACTTAAAATTGCATTGCTATGATTCCTTTTCGGAAGGTAAAGTGGAGCAGTGGTAAGAGTTGTCGTCTCATAGCGAGAAGGTTCTGGGCTTGACCCAGTGCTGGTCGGCTGGGCCCTTTCTGTGTGCAGTTTGCATGTTTGTCCTGTGCCTGCACAGGTTTTCTCCCCCCACAGTCCAAAGACATGCATTGTAGGTTAACTGGCGATTACAGATTTGCAGTCAGTGTGAATGTGATCATGCGTGGGTGTTGGTCTGTTGGTGTTAGTCCTGTGATCGATTGATGGCGTGCCCCACCTCCCACTGAGTGTCCTCTGGGATAGGCTCAAGCCCCCCACGATTCTTTACAGGATGAAGCAGGTCAAATTTTAACAAATGTTGCACAATATAACAAATACATAACACTTTTAAAGGTAATGTAGCAAAACATCCAGGCTTCACTTGTGGACTTAAAATAGATGAGATTGAACCAAATAAGCCAACCTAGCACTTAAAACTTCAAGTCTTACCCATTTTTCCAGTATGACCATAAAACAAGTAAACCTTAAATAAGTAAAGCAACCTTGCAACCAGTAACATCTTAGTTTTATTGAACATAATGAGTATCCCTCTGTGGCATTATTTAATAGTAATTCAGCAGCTGAAAGCACCTGGGTAGATGGGACAGAGGAACTGGGGAGGCACAAACATTATAGCACCAACTTTACTAACCCAGAAAGAAACATCTCACAAGTTAATTAGACTCATGTCTAAAAAAAGGACACCATAGCTGCTACAGCACTGTCCTGTGTCTGGCCCACAGGGACCTGCATTCATTCTGTTAAAGCTTTTAGTCTGGCATTAGTGTGACTGTAATGGATTGTATGAAACTGTATAGAAATACCTACCAGAAAGACCACTGATGATGTATCCCACCAGAAGACTTTGGTTTCTGCTTATGTGTTGATTGTCATGAAGGTGTTTAGTTAACAAAAATGGAATCTTACATTTGACTGGCCACTCACATTTTACTAACGAGATAAGTTTGATGTGAGACATTGTTATATTAAATTTTTTTTACAAATGGTGTAGTAATTCAACATTACCATTGCTATTACTCCACTTTTGATTGCTTGTATATTGTGAGGGGTTTTCATAAAAGCAGCTGTCGGACAGAAGAAGATGCCCCTGGTCTGTCCTGTTGGCTCACTTATGTAGGATATTCCAGCTGTCTCTGAAACAAACAAAGGCTTAATATAGCAAATGTTCCAAAAAATTGTGTCTCGGAGCTTCATCTCTGTCTTTAAGTATAAGCAAAAGTGTCCCAGGGCTTAATCTGAAGATCTTTCTTATTTCAAAAGCAATACCAGTGTTTATCTGTTCTTGACCTTGGTTTCTCAGATTCACATTGCTTGAATGTTGTTGTTTGTCTGGGAAAAGCTGCTTTGAATTTACCCTGTTTTACTAAAGGGAGATGCAAAATATTTGGGTGAACCTTTATGTGGCTCGTAAAAAATACATGGAATAGCTTTAGATGAAAAAAGCAAATTGTTGAGAGACTATAGGGGGATGACATGCAGCAAATGGTTCAGTTAGTCAGGTGTCAAACAGGGACTAGCTGGTCAGGGAACTTGCCCTAAGCACTTAGTTGTGGGTTCATCCCAACAGCAAATTAAATGGGAAGCTAATATATGGCAAGTCCTTCCTCTCAGCTGAACTTTTGACACATAAGGCCTGTAGACAAACTTCAGTTAGATACTCAGTGCATGTACAAATCAGTTTCCATTACTGGCATGCAGACCTGAATGACACAAGTGTCACAGATGCTGTGAAAGGAGCCTACTTTTTTCAGCAGTACTACACAGAAGAGGTCTGACACTGTAGCAGAGTCAGTTTTGTCTCAGTAGATATTACAATACCTCCTGGAAACTCGCTATCAGAATCAGAGAAGGTAACTATGAAAGAATGATGAATCACATCTAGAAATGAATGGACATGTATGTTATGAGTGGATCTTATCTGCTAGATGTTGTATTTATGATTGTTAATTAAGCTAAGATGTTAGTTTAGTGTAGCTTCATTAAATGCCACCAGGGGCATTGCTGTGCAATCTACAGAAAGGGCCATTAAAACATTAGCCTGAATTTCTTTGAAACTGCTATTATTAGACTTTTGACATTACCAGTTACTCACATGGCTTCATGTAATGTGCAAAGGGTCACTCACAGTGACAAAGTCACAGATAATCATCTGAATCTGCAGGTTCCCTCAGCTCTACACGGCATTTTAGCATCCTTTAACTATTTTTTCTTGGTTTACAATCTACAACTTCACTGTTGTTTCAATCTCACCACTAAAATTAACCTCGTATCCAGCAGGTTCAACTGCGAAAGAGACAAATATTTCCATCAGTCATAATGGAGAGCGAGAAAGAGCTATAGGAAGATGTAAGCATGTCCATCTGTGATGATCACTGATTCCACTAAACTGTCATAACAGTGATCCTTCAACTTAGAGTGTCAGTGTTATTCACTTCACCTGTCAGCGGTTTTATTGTTGTGGCTGAACAGTGTGTACATGGTCGTGTGGTTTGTTATTTATGTTTTGCCTTGCTCATGTTCTATCCAAAAATGCTGCCTCAGGATAAGTTTAACTCATTGAAATCCTCATATATCCATTCCCGCACCTGCAGTTTACTGTAGGTGATTCTCCGTATACATGGCTTAAATCTGTTTAAGCTTTAAGAATTTTGAAAACAAGCAATCCTTGTGACAGCAAAAAGCAGGAAAATGAGGCCAAGGTATAGCTAGAATTATTTTCACATTGGTAACTTTAACCAACTGCTTTCTCAAACTTATGACAGGTTTTCTAACTCGAACTTCTTTCCCAGTGTGTTTGTGGTGTTCAGGAGAGACTTCCTCATATGATCCTTCTATTTTGCTTTAAAGTTTTTCCCTCCCTTTGCCTATTTGCCATTCACTTCACAGCTAACTCCTACAGCTTTGAAACACTTGTGCTCTTCATCATCTCATTGTTATGGGAAGCAGGATTGCTCCTCTCCTACGCCTCTTATTTTTGTTTTGGAGTTGACTTCAGTTGGAATGGCTAATATCACATTTAGACCACAGGAGAAAGGCGCACTGAACTGCGCTCTTTACTCCTACACAGCGATGCTTTTAAAATACTCAAACTTTTATCACCACATTACCGTGTTAGGCACTCACTTGCTACTGCACTCATACACATTTGTAAAATTTGAAACAGTGAACTTAGCTAACCCTTACTACTCCATTTGTTATTTGGTGTGAAGTGCATTATTCAAACAGTTGTTTTGTACACTGAGTCACCCGACAAACCTCCCCACTGGGATTCATAGAGCTCTGTTTCCTCATCTCCTGTATTTTCCTGCTGCTGAGTGAGCTTTTAAAGATATTTTTCCAGTAAAGTACTGTTGAATCCCATGTATAGTGCAGCCTAAAATAACAGAATGATCACTCTACAAATTATTAAATGTGACTTTTCTCTCATCACCCTTTTAGACCCTGATATCAGGAGCAGTTGTGGAACAGTTGGACTTCTTGCGAGTCAACGAGGCAGAGTAAGAGCATCCTCCAATCTTTACATGGTGTTGTTAGAGATCATATTGTTAAACTGCAGTGTAGCGACATATGATTTGAAGTGTTTTTGGGACCAGTAAATCAGTTTAGCAAGAAATAAATAAAAAGTCAAAGGAACGTTACCAAAATTTTTTTGGTTTGTTGTTTCAAATGTGACATGTTGAAAATAATAGAAATAAGTGGCAAAACACTGCATGTTGGATCTGGTGTCTACAAAGTTTGACTTGTCTGTGTTTGTGTGTGTGTGTGCTTAGGATCCCAGAGTTTAAGAGTTTTGAGGAGCTGGAGCTGCCCAAGCACTCTAAGGTGAAGAGACAGACGAGCACGCCCAACGCCTCAGACCTGGAGCAGCAGCCAGAGATCAGTGTGGAGGAGTGGCAGCAGAAGTCCACCCAGGAGATTATCCAGAAGTTCCACGTGAGTGGATGAGCTTTATGGGACAAGGACCCACAATACACTACATCTGTTCTTTGAACAAATTAGAAACATGCACGTAAATTACAGAAGCAAACACTAATTTAATTTAATGCGTAAACTTACATTAAGAGTATTGTGTAACCATTATGTAAAACTATTAATTACATGGTAATAGTTTAACCAAATCACTTGCTTGAATACAGCTGGCAGTAGCACCAGAGACATAACAGAGACCTGGTTTAAATGTTGAGCAGTCATCCCTTTGGCTAAGCATCATACTTATAATATATTCTGACAAATTACAACAAAAATTACAATAAATACATGGCCAAGTAGTTGTGTAGGAGTCTTTGTGTCAGCTAATAGAAGCTTAAGCTGGTGTCACAACAGACAGGACCACAGAGACAAAAACATGGTAATGTCAAAAGTTTTTTAAAAAAAAATAAAAATTCTGGAAAAGATTGAATTTGACCAGTTCCATAACTGTGTGAATACTGACAGTTCGGATTATGAGACCAACTGTACAACTGACACAACTTCATTAAAAGTGGCAAATGACACTATGCCACTATGTCTAAAACCACTGCTATGCAAATGACACAACACTTTATATCTGTTTTTCAACCCCAGGTTTTTGACTGCTATTTTTACATGTTTCACCGTATCAATTCTTGGATAGGGAAACAAATGTTTCAGAAACGTTTTTGTTTGATGATTATATGTAATAATAATAGCTGCAAGGTGGCTCGGTGGTTCACACTGTTGCCTCGCAGCTAGATGATCCTGGTGAGGATGCCTGGGATCTTTCTGTGTGGTGTCTCCATGTTCTCCCCATGCAGCGTGGGTTCTGTCCGGGTTCTCCGGCTTCCTCCCACAGTCCAAAAACACGTTGAGGTTAATTGGTGATTCTAAATTCTCCATAGGTGTGAATGTGGGTGTGTTTGGTTTTCTCTCTGTGTAGCCCTGTGTAGGGTAGGAAATAATTATTATTAATAATAATTATTTTCACCATAAAGCAAATTAATGCATTAATTAAAATCATCAAAACCAACCTTTGAATTATTCATCCAGCGATATAATCCCAGAGTCAGCACAATAATTCTAATAAACTGTTTAGTCTTGGTGATCAGTCAAGAGTGTTTTATAATGTTAGGGAATTCACTTTGAGCGTAGGTAACTATGAAGATGAAGTGACTGAAAGTAGACTATAGAAAACACAAGAAACAACTGTATACGCACAAAACATTTATTACTAACTACAACAAACAAATAACAACAACAACAAACATAAAATACAAAGATGATGAAAATGCTGATTGAAAGTCTGACAATGAGAAACCAAATGTGGAGCAGATACTTCAAAAGTCTTTTCACCCTAAGCAGCAGATTACTGTTGAATTTGGAATATTTGTTTGAAGGCCAATTGTAATTTCGAAGCATCCGTTTAGAGATAGAAGCGCGATACTTGCAGTTTCCTTGGCGGGTACAACAACATCTGGTGTTGGGAGAGACGTGGCCTTCAGCTTGGATCAGAGTTGATCAGGGTGTGGCAGTTGAAGTTGGTAACATGAAAGAGACCAAAGTGGGAGATTCTTTGTCCAGTAGAAAATCTGCGGGTTGTTGGGTGAAGAGACTTTAAATTGTAAAATAACTGACCAATCACAAAGGGCTCCCCTCCCAGAGGGGGTGGTGGATATGACGCTCTTGTGGTCAAAGGGGGGTCATAAGGTGGTCAGAGTTTTGTTCTGAAAGTAACAATGTCACTTTAGAACTATATGTATTTGTAATTATACAGAGTTAAACTTACTGAAAATAAATATATCTAGTGGATCACAAAGAGTCTAAACATGAGATATCTATCTCTCACTTAGGATATATGATTATGTAACAAGCAGATAAAATCAAGAAGGACTTATCCAACTATGACCAAGCTTTAGGGGTATTTATCAGGATATTATATACTTCCACATTTATCAACATTTAAACTAACATAAGATGGTAAGGCACATTAGATCCTCCGGTGCTTCCTCCCCATTGTCTATGTTGATTGCATTCCTTTAAGTCCAGAGCAGAGAGAGGATGGTTGCATTCCACAGAAAGGAGGAGTGAGCAATAAACACTCAGCCAGACGCCTGTCTTCCATGCCGCCATTTGGTTAGCTAAGCTAGGTCAGGATCTTTGTGTCTTCTTGAGTGTCTCTTATCTGTTAGTTCCCTTTGAAGCTCTGGTGGTGTGATCCATTGATTTACACCTTCCTGTGAAGGGCTGTAAAGTTTTGTGTCTCTCTGGCATCTGTGTGTTCATATCCTACACATGTGATAGACTGATTACCTGTTCAGGTGAACCTGCCTTCACCCTGAGTCAGCTGAGATAGGCTCCAGCCCGATATATCACTAACTGACTTTTGACTGTTGACTTTTATTGACAGTTTGTTAATTCTCACTATGAGTAAATAATATAATAAATGTCAGTGTTAGCATGTGAGACAAGGCTCATGTTTCCTTTCTTCTACATGTGTGTTGCCGCTCAGGACTGTGACTGCTTGGCCAGTCAGGCTCAGCTTGCCAGCATCCTTCTGAGGAGAGAAGGATCAGACTTCCTTGCCAAAGATGGTAAGCACACACACTGCAAGTTAGTAACTACAAGAACTAGTCACTAGTTGTAGAAAAACAACAAGCTACAGATCTGAGGAGAAGCCAGAAGTGTTGCAAATGAGCAGCTTTGCGAACATTATCATCTGCTCTACCTTTTAATAGAAAAATAAACCTTTTGGTGCATTCATCAGGTATTTCACATTCCTGAATGGATGATAAATCTAAGCATGGCTGTACATGTCTTATAAAGTTTTTAAGGTCTTAACAAACATGTGTGATTCCAGAGAACCTGATGGATGAACTGGAGAGAATCTACAGAAGAGCCGGCAGCAGAAAGCTTTGGTCTGATATATTCACACACATACACAGAAACACACAGCTCATACACTGTTTTGCATTCTTTCAGTCTTCCGTCACTGCTTTTGTTGAGATTGCATTGCCATTTGTCCTGATTTAATGTTGCTTTTTGTCATTGTCTGTCCAAATATAAAGCTGACTACTAAGTATCACATCTAAAGCAATATAAGATGCATTCAGGAGCAGAGATGTGGCTGTATAAGATGGTCCCATTTAGTACATGTACTCATTTATTTATTCATTGGTGACTTGTCAGTCAGTATTAGTTACTGCTGTGCTGACTAATTATATGTGTATTGAAAGCAAGTGAGAATGAATGTTGAAACATTTTATGAAATGAGAATTGTATGGGCATTGTTTTGACAGTGTCTTGTTGGGCCCCTTTAATCCAACGGCTTGTCTTCATACCTGTTGTGTCCCCTCTTGTCGTCCTCTCACACTCTTCTCTAATTTTGACACTTCAAAGTAACTGTGATCTAATCTGGCTGAACTGTAGGCTGGCAGTGCGCCAGGCTGCTGCCATTATCAAGAAGGTTGCCAGCTCAATAGCTCCTCACATCACTACAATTCTGGTGCATGGGAAACAGGTAATGTTCAGGCTGAGACAGACTGAAGATCCTGCATGTGTGGTCCCAGTTAGCTGGCTAGCTAGCTGTCTAGCTTCAGAGCTGTGTGAGGTTCAGCCGATCCTGCTTTAAGATTCCTCATAGCAAGGGTGATCACGGGGATTTTTAAAAGTAAAAATAAATATAAAAAAGAAGAAAAATAATCATTTGTTAAATTAGAGGTTTAGCTTTCCAATTTATCAAAAAGTCAGCTTTTCAGTTTTTTTTTTTATTAGTTTATGCAATTGAGTAGATTAAAACTGAGACTTTAGCTACAGTACGCCTAAATGACAAATAATACAAAATTGAATCATCTTACAGTAATTGCATTACTTCTAAGTGAAACGGTAAAGTATTTGCTGTTATGTCAAATAATAGTTTAGATTTACTATGTTAAAATTACAGACACTACTGCTCTAATGCTCCTCAGCATGAAGGATACCAGTGTTGGACTAATATCTGGAGAGGTGTTCTGCCATTCTTCAGAAAAGATTTTTGCTGGAGAGGTTGTGCGTTGCTCTCCTTTTCTCTTTGAAGTATCCCAAAGGTGTAAACTCAGGTGGGACTTTGGTGTGCATTGAGTCATTATGTTTGAATACTCGTCTTCTGCCAAGCTTCTGCAGACTGGGAGTCAACTAGTTAGCCAGCATTTTTGTATATCCAAGAGCATTCTTGGTGCTATCTATAAATACCATCTCTCTGGCACCTCATCATACTCCTAACTCTATGCTTCACTGTCAGGACTATACATTTACTGTGGCAGTCCTGGCCCGGTTTATTCCAAACATGCTGGACCCAATCTGAGCTGAACACATTTTTCTGACCCAAGAATGTGCTCCCAATATTCATCAGGCTTCTCATGTTCAGGAGCAAGCTTTTTTTCCTGGACACCATCCTTAAAGGTTGATGTTATCCAATATCCACTACGCTGTCTGAGCTGTCACAGGAACTCTGATACCCACTTACAAAAGCTGTGCTAAGTCTAGAGCAGTTGAACACCTGTTTTTCAGCACAAGATTGCGCAAGGAGCACACCATTCATGGTGTCATTTTAGCAGGTTGACAACTTTAGCTCTAGTTAGTGGTCTATGGTTTGTTGTATACCTCTTTTATACTGCTCTTACTGTGTTTCAGATGATTTTGGTCTCAGAAACAGATTTTTTAGTTCTTCTGTCAATTTATTTCCATTTGAAGCCATGCAGACATGCCAACAGACACAACCATAGGTCCAAAACTGAGAAAGCTGTGGTGTTCACAAGTAAACTTTATAGGTATGATCATGCAGTTTGGTTAACTGGAAAAGTGTTTTCACTTTTGCATTGAGTTTACAATTTGGGGCCTGAAGGTTCAATACAGTCTTTCTAAAGTGTTTACTTTTGAGTTTTCATAGCATGAAATACTTTACTCCTTAACTTAAAAACAAAACAATTATTGATAGATTATACAATTTTGAATTATTTGACATTTAGGTATTTGACATTTATTGGTCAGTGGTGCAGTCACTTCTTTTTTATACTGTGAGTGTGTAGTCTACATTTTTTTGAAAGATCTAAGAATGTGAAAAAAAATATATATATTTGAATAATATATGCGTGTGTACCTTCCAATAATGCAGTTTGTAATTAAAGATGTATAGTTAATATGGACTACACTAAACATCATTAATGCTCACATTTATGTACAACTAATGCTAGTCCCACTTTTTGCTGTTAACCCTATTCAGGACATTCATGTTGCCATACCTAGAAGGTCTTTCGGGGTCCATTGAACCCCAAGAAAGAATAAATATACAAAATATTTGTTGGTCTTCATTATAGACTTTATGCTGTTGTTATAAGAGTGTGTGGCCCCTTTCAGAAATGCCAGGGTGTGCAGGTTGCTTGACCGGTGTGTGAGTGAGTGAGCGTCCGACGTGTGTGTGGAGACGACCGTGAGGAGAGCAGGCGATCGGAGCAGGCTTAGCGCAGGCATAAGTAAATATATAGTAAATATAACAGTAAATATATAGCCTTGCAGGAAACTACTGGCAAATAAACGCTACAGCCCTCAAGTACAAAGCCGAGTCTCGTGTTTTTTGCTTCCCGACTGCTGTAAAATAAAAGGGGAGTTAACCCCGACGCTGAGGACAGCTTCGGCCCTGGAGCAGAGCTCGAGTCTCCCCCTGTGTCTCCCGACCGCGGTATGGAGGCTGAAGCAGGAACGGTTAAAACTAAGTTAAATAAATTTTCTCTTTTTGTGGTTCCAAATGCAAGACACATGACCCTCTTTTTATATTTAAAAAATAAATAAAAAAGACAATATCTGTCACCTAAACCAAATGGCCTGGGGTCCAAAAGAGCCCGAAAGTCCTGAATAGTGTTAAATAGGTTTTATAAAGTATAATTTGATTCCTGGCTGTGACATTTAACTGACCAGCAGTGACCTGTAACATAGTAGCATGCTAATATCTGAACATCTTGCTGTTAGCTTGTTAACCAGCTAAACCTCTTTCTCCGAAAAATAACATCATAAAAAATGGCTAACGCTCACACAGTCATGAATTTAGTGAAGCCAGCTAAGCCAAGCTAGCTGGTAGCTTGAGTCAGGTGTGTACCGGAGCTTGTGGTCAGTTTTGGTTTTCTCTCTCGTCATTAACCGTCACAGAGGCTGGACCCTCGTTTCTGCTGCTTTGGTATTGTCCTTCATCACCTGCTGCTCTAAGGCTGGCTGTATACTGCAAATGAAATAGAATTTGAATGTAGCAGTGTCCCTGCTAGATGAAGGGCGTCATAGTTGCTGCCGGAGGAGACACCGCTCGTATTCACCCAGAGTGGTGAACATGAAGTAACAGTACAATTGCAAGTCTATAACTGTAAACTGAACACTTGGCTTTAATGGCTTATAAAACCTATTTAGATGAAAGCTGCTTCCTAACGATGTAACCAAACTCAGTATCTTTTGGTTTTACTGTTGTGGGCTCAAATAACATGCAGATCATGCACATAGAGGGGTGACTAATTAAAGAAAAAGCCAACATGAAGTGTCTTTGTAGGGCAGCGTGCTGCCAGAATATCTTTATTGTATCTTTGCATTTATTCTCCAAGTCTCTGAAAACTCTACTGGAGGAATGAACATCATTTTTCAAAAACAAATTTTCTGATGAAAGTGGAAAGTGCTGTCTGACATTTTGCTGCAAAATTTCCTGTTGGTTTTCAATTAGACTGAGATCTGGTGACTTCAAAGGCCGTAGTATATGATTCACATCATTTTTATTAAACCACGCAGTGACCCCTCATACCCTGTGGAGGGGGGCATTGTCATCCTGGAAGAGTTCACCCTCATCAGGGTAGAAATGTCTCACAAAACTATAAAGGTGATCACTCACAACCCCTATGTATTGATTTGCAGTGACTCTTCCCCTACAACTGTATCAGTGGACCCAAACAATGACAGCAAAATGCTCCCCACAGCATAACAGCCACCAGATCCACTCACTGTAGGGGTCAGTGGTTCAGGGTTTTTCTTTAATTTGTCGCCCATTTCTATGTCTGCACAGATGTCATGCAGTGATGTGGAACCTGCAGTCAGTATTCAGGTTTCTTTTTCTTTTTTTGCTTCAGTATTTTTTTTAAAGCATGGATGAGCATAAGTCCATGATTTGGAAGACCCAGTCAAAAAAATACAATAACCATTTTTTTATCTTTGATGTCAGAGCTGCCAAAATTCCATTTTGTTTGTGGTTTACTGCTGGCCTGAATCACAAAGAACTGACCAAATACTATGGATGGTTGTTACAGTTTGTGAGCTTTTGTTTCCCTTTCTAGCAGCCAGTGTTTTCTGTGTCCATGGTTTGATTCAGCTGGTATTGCTTTCACCTTCTGAGTCTGTCTGTCCGTCTGTCTGTTTGTGTGTGATCATGGCAAAACGTGGAGACATCTACTGTAGCTGGCACTATCACAAAGGTGGCTTTGAGTACTTTGGCAGGTGTTTATATCTGCCTGTGGACAGATTTTATCACCGTGACAGCATCACAACCATGCAAGTTGCATTTATGAAACCTTACAGGTGTGTAGTTGAGATCAAAATAACAGCAGAGTTTGAGATGGGTATGATTCAAGTGCTCACTGAGTACTCACACGTCGGACTGTCAGCGTAGTTCTATGCATCGCAGATGGTGTGATCCCATCACAAGATGGTCTCCAGTTTGAATTTGTGTCAGACTGACTGGCATGACTTTTATTAAATATGTTTTATTAATTAATAGGATTTTAGCTTAGGTAAATCTGATTATGCTGTAAAGTAAAAATAAGCCCAGGGGCTGGTTTTCAACTAGCTGGGAAAAAGCATCAATACTCAGTTCAATTTACTTTCTCATTTACCTAACATGGGTCAGGAAGTGAAGCTTGAAATAGGTTCCCCAAACAAAGCATCGGTGGATTGACACCACATCATGCCTTCTAAACATTAAAGCTTTGTAGCATTTTTATTCATTGTGCTCAAGATGTGCCTTTGTAGGTTTAAGCTCTGAATAACTGTATACACACATATGCACACACACACCATACAAGAGTTGTTCTTGCATTTAATAGAGATGTTGTGTTTCAGCTGATTATATTCATAACCCCATTAATGAAATGATTTAATTTGTTCACCGCTTCTGTGAGGATGGCTTCAACTCCACGTGTGTGTCCATAGCAACCCTGGCTGTGGGCTACCATGTGAAGATAAACACACTTTCTGTATGCTGATTTTTCCTCATAGGATTCCTGCAGGCAAGAGGAGGCAATTTGAAGGCTGCACTGAATCTCGTGAACAATGAATTCATAAATTAGTGAACATTAAAATATTTTAAGAGAAATTAACATTGTATTTGGACTGAAGTATCTAAATCGTAAGTTATATATATATATATCATTTTCTGTTTTAGTGTGAGAAAAGAGGTTTGCTCTGTCTCTTGAGGACGTTGTCTTGGCCTTCTTTAATCATGTTAGTCATTTTTTGTGTATTTTTAATATTATTACCTCAAATATTGGAAGAATTCCAATGAATATAAATCCATTTTCTACTTTATGTTCATGTTATTAGTGCCACACATAGACTAATACATGTTCCACTCAGACTGCAAAAAAGCTGAGGAATCTGCACTTCAGCTTGTATTTTTAAAAAAATGCCGTTTGTTGAAGTCCTAGCTGTTAGTTGTCACTGTCATGATGTCAAGAATGTTTTTGTGTCTTTTCGCCCACTAGGTCTGTTGTCCGTCTTGCTGCCAGTCTCTTAACTAAGCTAGTGGACAGCCTTGCCCCCAGTATTACTAGTGTTTTAGTGCATGGCAAGCAGGTAAGTGGACACAGACACAGCAGGGCCTGATAGTGACCGCTCCTTGTGTTGTGGCATGTCAGAACAATGATTTTAATGTTCACTGATTAGAAAAAATGAAATTGGAAAAATGTGATTATAAGCTCCTCATGCTGTCATCCTATGGGAATTACTGTAGACCAGCAGCATGCTCATGTGCCTCATCACCGCTCACCTCCATTGTGTGTGTATCTGAGCTGTAGTTGTAGCACGGCTGCCCGTGTGACCACCGTAGAATCCTAATACGCACCGTGTCCACGTGTCTAGACACACTCCATGTGCCAATTGATATATTGTGACCCGTGAATTTGTCTGATGCCACTCCCATGCGCTGGATTAGTTTTGGCGCATCATTTTCTGTCAAGTGTTATTCAGAGATTAGCCTCCTCTCAAGAGTGTCAGTTATCTCGCCTCATTTTTACCCTTCTGAACAGTTTTAGGCATTTCATTATGCTGAAGTAGCTCAAGGTGTGAATCTGCATATAGATTGCCTACCGGAGGGAATGCTCCTCTCAACATGATTGGAAAAACTGATTTAAAATTTGAGACGGCTGTGTTCCTCTGCTTACAATAACAGCTTAGTTGAAAAAAAGAGGCACCACCCCATTTAAGTCAATTCTGACTCGAGTTTTGATTGTATTTTCCGTCGTTATTGAAATCCAACACTCCCCTTGAATTCAAAGTTGGTCGTTCCCAAACTTTATTTCCAGCTCCAGGCTCCTCTTTTCTCAGTCAGAATACGTTTAGATGTAAAGATGAATGATACATCTAAGCGTTGGATTTCATCAGCTGAAGGCAAGGGTAAAAGTGTGTCCTCTCATCAGTAAGATTGCTGCGGTGTAATTTTCATGAGATGACTTTAGAAGAAACAAATACAAAAGTGCAATCTTGAGATCTGTAATTTTTTCCTGCTCACTTTTATGTGGCTCTGGGAGAGGAGGCCAATTTTAGACTGATGGAACAAAGACACTTGTAAGAATTGCACCTTAGAGGAAGTACTGTGCACATGCCACTCTCGCACGTACCGCACTGCAGAGAACTTTCTAACTGTGTGCGGTGTCATGTCTGCTGTTTCTCCTGATTGTGTGTGTGTGTGTGTGTGTGTGTGTGTGTGTACACGTTATTGCCTGTGATTGCCAGGTGACCCTCGGCCTGTTCGGGCATGAGGAGGAGGTGATCTCTAACCCGCTGTCCCCGGGGGTGATCCAGGGCATCATCTACAGCAAGTGCTCCCCTCATGGTGGGGAGAGGGAGGCTGTTCTACAGCAGGAGCTGGTCATCCACATCGGATGGATTATCTCCAACAACCCTGAGCTGTTCAGCGGCATGCTCAAGATCAGAGTCGGGTAGGACAAAATTGGATTCAGTATAGCTGCAGTGGTGTGCTGACAGCTGTTGTGTGTTTAGTCAAGCAAGATGGGCTCATGCAGCAAGCGCACGTTGTTGTAATGCTCAGTCAATACAAACATGTTAGTCGATCAAAACATCAGGAACAAATAGCTGTACCAATGAGTCTTCCTATTTCAGGATGTTTTCTGAAGTTGCTTTTTGCCCCAAAGGAAGCACACAGTAATTCACTTTTAAGTGGATTAAGACTTTGTTTACAGGTGTTCACTGCATGGTATGGATCAAAGATACATATTTGGTCCAAAAGTCGGATTGAGAAAAATGAAACACTGTGCTGGAATTAGGACTGCACAAAAAATAGTTTCAGCATCAACACTGTGAAGTGTGCATGCACAATAGTCACATCACAGGTAGTGCAGTGTGAAGTAAGACAACAGGTACTACGACTATTGAGTATGGTTATTTAAATCAGAAACAAAGTGCTCTGAAACTGGATCTAAAAGCCATAATAGGGGAAAAAAAAAAAAAAAAGATCTATGAATATTTGAGGGCTGCAAGGTAGCTCAGTGGTTAGCACCATCGCCTCGCAGCTAGAAGG